CCCGCCCCTCCTCTGCTCAGTGATTGGACGGGGTGGAGGGGGTGGGGAGGGAGGGGAGCGCAAATGCAAGCAATGGCTGTAAATTATTTAACCAAAAAATCCAGCTGGGCCTCTAGCTTGCCCTGGAGAGCCCAGAGCAAGTCAGCTTGGACCAACAGTATTGAAATGATACACTCTATTCAGCCGCCCCTTTCGCAGGAGAGGTTGTGCTGCTGATTAAGGGCCTCACTCAAATGATATATACTAATCTGTTGATTTAGACACATGGTCTCTTGTCAACAAGGCCAAAAGAGACCATATGCTCAAGGTGTATCTAGTTACACTTTCCAATTAGCATGTGCTAATTATAAGGAATGTTAGTTGGTGTTAGTTAGCACGCTTTGAACAGTCACACATCACTGGTTAATGCCCATGTTAGGAACACTGCTGAGTACTGACCTGTCCTTAGAGGGCTGATGAATAGGGGTGTGGCTAGGAGCCAAGTTGGCTCTGTGCCTAGGTGACTGCAGCTATGGTTTCACATTGCCGCCCCCCCCCCAAAGGACTCTCTACTCACCCTCACACCCTGATGCCCAACCCAGCTTTGCCCCCAACCTGAGCTTCATTGGCTCTTCTCCCTTCATCCCTGTGACCCCCCAAAGAAACCTGTCCCTGACCCAACAGTATTACAGGCAGCCTGGGACACAGCGGCAGCAATACATAGCTGCAAGAACAAACTGCAGGGTGCTGTGCTCCTGCTCAGATACCAGGTGGCACTGCTGTGCTTTTTCTGTCTGAGCTTCAGTCCAGCTACTGCTGTTTAGTGCTTTTACTGATGGCTAAAGGTTTTTTTTTTACTGACTTTAACAAAAAATCTGGATAAAATGGTTGTCAGTAATGACAATCAGTAAATTCACTGACAGTGGGCAACCCTGGAACACACTTAATTCAGATTAGTCTGACAGAGACTGCAAAGAACTTGAGAGAGACCCAACATGTCTGAGGGACCATGAAACATGGTGACAAGTAACATATTGTTGACAAATGCTAAGTATAATTTCAGCTCTCATTTGTGATGCTGGGTTCTTCATTAACATTGTTGTAGGGATAGGGGCTGTAGCCTATTGGTCTACTGGCAAAAGGAATCAGAACTCTGGGTGGAGGCAATATCTTGTATTAGACCAACTAGATATTTGCAAAAAAATAAGTATTTGCAAGCTTTGGGGCATGCTCACCCTTCTTCGGGCATAGGAGAATGCAAAGAGTGTAAAATGTCTCCTAGGTGGAAACGAACATTTATATTTCATGCAGGAGAGCTGGAGTTGGAAGATCTCCTGGTTGGAAAAGTTCATTTTGTGCATATTAGGATCAGATAAAAGGGCAGTCTGTTTACCTCGAAGTTGTCTGATGGCAAGCAGGACGTTGAATTATGTTTGGTGTGGCTAGGAATGAAAATCCCTGATCTAGGAGTGGTGGTGGCCAAGAAGGAAATAAAATATTGGGGTGCAAGGGGAATAGGATGGAAAGCAATATTAAAGCTTTTCAAATACTATATATAAATCAATAGCGCATCCTCCCCTGGAAAACTGATTAAGCTTTCAGCAGCCTAAAAAGAACTAGCCACTAGGGTTGCCACATAAAAGAGAAACGAAGAGAGTGGGGCTGTGTGGTTTAGATAGGAGGGGAATAAGAGGGAACAGCTGTTAAAAAATGAGGCACGTTATGGAGAGATGCGCGGGCCACACGCAGGGCTGCAGGAACGCGGGGGAAAGGGACGGGCTGGTCTGACACTCCACGCCGTTTGGCAGCGGCCCCGCTCGCAGCTCGGCAGCCCGCGAGGTTCAGCGTCGCCGGCCCTGCCCGCCCCGGCACCACCGCCCGTGTAAGAACGCGTTTTCCGGCGCACAAGGGCAGGGAGAAGGGCTCGCCTTCTGCCGCCCGGCCCCTCTGCTCTGCCCTCGCCGGAGCCGGTGCAGAGAGGATGAGGGGAGGGCGAGGCGCCTCCAGCTGCCCGCGCCACTGCAGCGAGCGGGGGCCGGGGACCGGCTCTGCTGCGGGCAGCGAGGACAGGACTCGCGGGTGGCGGCCCCGCGGAGTCGCAGCGCGAAGGCTCTACAAGTCCCGCACCCCCGGGGCCCGGCCCGAGCGCCGCTGAGAGCCCAGCCCGGCTCCGCCCAGCGCCGGGGCGGGGCGGGGCGGGG